GACAATTTCCTTACAGACGAAGAAGTGGCTCCAAGCAACGGAGATGTGGTTCTACAGATGAATGTTGAGAATACCACGGACAGAACATGTGGTTATAGGGAAATATGCTGAGAATACAATGGACTGAAAATGTGGTTATAGGGAAATATGCTGAGAATACAATGGACTGAAAATGTGGTTATAGGGAAAGATGCTGAGAATAAAATGGACTGAACATGTGGTTATAGGGAAATATGCTGAGAATACAATGAACTAAACATGTGGTTATAGGGAAATATGCTGAGAATACCATGGACTGAACATGTGGTTTTAGAGAAATATGCTGAGAATACAATGAACTAAACATGTGGTTATAGAGAAATATGCTGAGAATACAATGCACTAAACATGTGCTTATAGAGAAATATGCTGAGAATACAATGAACTGAAAATGTGGTTATAGAGAAAGATGCTGGGAATACAATGAACAGAACATGTGGTTATAGAGAAAGATGCTGAGAATACAATGAACTGAACATGTGGTTATAGAGAAATATGCTGAATATACAATGAACTAAACATGTGGTTATAGAGAAATATGCTGAATATACAATGAACTAAACATGTGGTTATAGAGAAATATGCTGAGAATACAATGAACTGAACATGTGGTTATAGAGAAAGATGCTGAGAATACCATGGACTGAACATGTGGTTATAGAGAAAAGCGCTGAGAATACAATGAACTGAACATGTGGTTGTAGGAAAATATGCTGAGAATACAATGAACTGAACATGTGGTTGTAGAGAAATATGCTGAGAATACAATGAACTGAACATGTGGTTATAGAGAAATATGCTGAGAATACAATGAACTGAACATGTGGTTATAGAGAAATATGCTGAGAATACAATGAACTGAACATGTGGTTACAGAGAAATATGCTGAGAATACAATGAACTGAGCATGTGGTTTTAGAGAAATATGCTGAGAATACAATGAACTGAACATGTGGTTACAGAGAAATATGCTGAGAATACAATGAACTGAACATGTGGTTATAGAGAAATATGCTGAGAATACGATGAACTGAAAATGTGGTTATAGAAAAAGTTGCTGAGAATACCTATGAACTGAATATAGACAAAGATGCAGAGAATACAATGAACTGAACATGTAGTTATAGAAAATATGTTAAGAATGAGAAGGAGAAAAAATAATAATTTCGTCTATAGCTCTTGTGTTCAATTTTTTTTCTCTCCTTCTCATTACAGATTTTCTGGTGTTTTAATTTAAGTTGAATCTCCCGTGGAGGCCTGATGAGCCAGGCGAAACCGGTTTCCTCGCTTTTAGAAATATCTAATAATATCAAGCTTCACACTTTTATATATATATATATATATATATATATATATATATATATATATATATATATAATGATAAAATATAAAAAATATACTTTTACGGTTTGGTATGTTTATGGGTTAAAGTGCTCAATATCAGGGATAGAGCATATGTAAATATAAAAGTGGATATTAAGGTCAACAGTCTGTTTCATACTTAAGCACAATTTTCATTCCATGTGTGTTGTGTTTTGGCTCGACTATTTATATATACTGGTCAAGGATGTATTATGAGTAGATCTATTGTATTATCCTTAGGGTTATTGGGTGGGCGGTAACGGTTATATCCCACATTATTCGTAATTCTAATAATTGTGGACCGAATGCAGTTTTGTAACTATATTATCGTGTTGTTTGTTTGCTTTTTTACTCATTATTTTTTTTTTTTTACTGTATTAATTGTTGGTGATTGTTACGTTTACTTGTGTTTATATGTGTATTCTTAGTTTGTTAATTTGTTTATTAATTACTTAATTTCTTTATTTATTGATTTGGTTTATTTTATTTTACTTTTTTATTTATTTTATTTTTCTCATTCGTTTTTAGCTTTCCATTTTTAAGTAAGGTAGTAAAACTTATTTTGTGTCTGCATTTTGAGATGAGTTCTGATTGTTTATTAGTATTTTGTGTTGGTCTAGGAATGTGATTATTGCTATTTTCTCCTCCAGACAGAGTTTACGTTTTTGGGATTTATTGTTGTAAGCTGATGCTGTTTTCCTTATTTTCTAAATATTTTGTGTGATTTGGTTTTTATTTTTAATTTTCCCATATATGTTTTAGAAAGCGAGGACCATATATATATATATATATATATATATATATATATATATATATATATATATATAGGTTGCATTAATCTAATTTAATAGTGTTTTTATTTTTTTGTTTATATCAAATTGGTTTGCTTACATTAATTCCTAAATTTTTTAGATTTTTGAATCGATGAAATATTTTTAAGAATTTGAATTTGTATTTGTTAGAATCAATTTAATCAATAACTTTTATGTAAATTATATATATATATATATATATATATATATATATATATATATATGTGTGTGTGTGTGTGTGTGTGTCTGTGTCTGTGTCTGTGTGTACTATTTTATTACAAATGGAAATTAAATTAGTATGTTAATATAATTGAAAATAATAAGGTATTAATAGTTATATTATTAATTAATGGCAATGAGGTGACCTTATCAACTTCAGCAACCAGTAAGTCATTCATATTACAACACCATAGACATAGAAAAAGGACTTTTGTCTGATGAGCCTACACTACGAATTCCAAAAAAAGAGAACCCTTTTTTTTCCTACGGGGCTGAACAATTGGAACTTCGATGAACAATGCAACCAGTTACTCTAACAAGAAGTAATTCAATTTCGTTTAAAGTCGAATATAACAAAGGAAAATCTAGATCCTACAACTAAACACGAACATTTTGATTAATATCAGCTGTTAATAAAATTGTATTTTAATTTCTTAGATGATGCATGAATAGTTTCTGGTCCTTTTTATGGCATCTTCTAGATTGTCATTTTACGATCGTTAACGCAGATCGGAAATAATAAACAAACCTCCAGTAAGACTCGAACTCGCATCCTTTATCGTTGAGACTGTGCCTTTCCGCGACAGCGACTTTACTGATTCGGCGACGATGTACAGCCATCAAGAGTTAACTAAACCTTCCACCGTGACAACGTCCCCAGTGACAAGGGATGTGAGTTTGAGATTTGCCGGAGGTTTATTCTATATTTTCAATTTGTGCAACATAATAACGATCGTATAATGACGATCTTGGATTTGAAATAAAAAGCATAGGAAATTAAAATGAAACAAATACTAGTTAAATAATATTAATAATCATTGATAATGAAATTATCGCCGAAACGGCTCACTCCGCATTTGAATTATAATGGCGGCTTTCTACTTTTCGTTCTCAACTGGTTTCAATTTAGTACTTTAGAAATTTACCGTATCAAAGGAGTTCTAATTACCACAACCCAATGGCCTACTTTGTAAGTTAGATAGCTGCAGCCTCAGTTCAAACCTAGTAAAAAGCAGTCTGCCGAATGTTGATTTTTCAAGGCGGGTAGGCCCTTCCCGACTGGAAGATGAAAGAAGATTCTTACTTCTGTCCTTGCGGTATTTAATATTCTATCGGACTAAAACCTAAATTTAATAAATATCAACAATAATAATAATAATACCAGTGCCATGATAAAGTGGCATCTCATCTGCATTGACGCCTATGTGGAAAGTAGGGACTTGAGACGACGAGAAATGCTACTGTCACAAGCCAGAGAAGGTGACCGAAAACGACCGAGTCAATGTCTTCTGAGATTTCCACATCCAAAAAGTCCTAGAGGCCACCAAACTGGATATCAAATCTAGTTGACAAAGACACCCCACTCTTCTCATTGACGTGTACCTGGTGACCATAATATCAAAGTAAAAAATAAAATGATAAGTAATATACTGACGACTGAAGTTGCCGAAATATAGGACGTTTAGACCACTATTGCCTGAGTTATCATTTGGGTATTGGAGTCTATCCCAGCGAACTTAAAGTTCTACATAAAGAAAATCGGAATAAAGCTTAATATTCTACCGCTTTGGAAGTCTGGACTGCTTAGCACTTCAAATATTCAACGAACGATGCTCTCTTTCTATGGTCGTATGACTTGATGAAGTACACCGATAATGTAAGATCCCGGTTGAAAACGAAAGAAATAATAATAATAATAATAATAATAATAAAGCTGATGTAGACAAACCCTGTACCCATCAATTGTTACGTAGTTCAGGGTTAAAAGCTGAAACTGAAGGTTTTATTCTTGCTGCGCAGGACCAATGTTTGCTAACTAGAAATTACGAAGCACACACACTGAAAAATTGTGTTAGTCTAAAATGCAGATTCTGTGATAAATATCCAGAAACAATTGACCATTTTGTATCAGGCTGCACTATATTGGCACCTACTGAATATAAAACACGACACGACAGAGAAAGGAAACTGCAAGAAATTTGTATGAACACCACCCAGATCCGGTTACGGAGACAGGACCTGTAGCAATTTTATGGGACTTGACAGTACACACAGAGAAAACAATCAAAGCTAATCGCCCTGACATCGTGATTAGAGACCGCAAAGACATTGCCATAGAAGTCCCTGCAGACTGCCATGTATGTTGGAAGATCTTCAGAAAACTATCAAAATACAAGGACCTTGAAATCGAAATCACAAAAATGTGGCGCATGAGGACACTAATAATTCCAGTTGTAGTTGGAGCCCTTGGATTGATTGGAAAAGATTCCAATAGACTAATTGAAGGAACCCCTGATAGTCCATGCCTTAAAGAAATACAAAAAGTTGTACTCACAAGTACCTTACGAAGGCCTTTATCTATGTAAAATATATGCGTTGTTTTTTTGTTTTTTTTTTCAAAACTGCTCACTGGAAAATGTCGAAATGCCATTTCTAACCTTAGGTCTCTGGTCGGGACCCGGAAAGAAATGAATATACATCACAATACAATGAATTTTTCATGGCTAATTGTTGAAAAGGGCATGATTTCGGTGTTCTCTTCACATGGTCCTATTACCAGTCATATTAGCCTTAATACAAGCACAAATTTAAAGAGATAAGTACTGATCATTTAAGCATTACATACCACATCTCAAACGAATCTACTAATAGAAAACAGCATCCTTGCTTACCCTCCCGAGGCCAATGTACTAATTATGAGGGGGTGTTATGCTGATAACATAGGTATTAATAGTTTGAATAAGAATGATCATGAACAAAAATTCATTTCCTCTACCAAGTGATCCAAGAATAGGACTAGATAAAGCTTTGCAAAACAGAAACTATGATCTGGGATTGGAATGAAAGCAGTGATGACACATACAATGAATCCATCATAAAAATTCAGGATACGTCAAATACCTTGGTTTATGTATCAGTTATAACAAATTTAGTAGAGGCGATAAGGAAATCAGACATAGAAGAGGTTGCGCTAGGGGGGGTATTTTTGCCCAACACTGTAAGTTTGTTGAAGAACAAAAACCTAAAAGCTCGGGTCTTGTTCTTAAATAACCTCATTAGATAGAGGCTTTCATATGGATGGTATGCATGGCGTCAAACACGTTGAGAAATATCTAAACTGTCAGCTGTATAAAACCATTTTCTCAGATCAAAAGTTAAGAACGAACTTCACGTGAATGAAACCTGAACACGTCTTAGCGAGGACTATCGTTCTTGAAACCTCGCTACATAATCACAAACATAGAACAGTGCCAAATAACAGAAATCACATCACTTCGGGACTTTCAACAACAGCAACAGCTAAAATAGATAACACCCGTAACTCGAAGGGAAAATAATGATATAAAGATGTTGACGTTCCACGCTACTTCGAACAAAAGGTTAGGAAGGAAACCCCCTCACTCATCAATACTGGAAAGAACAATAACAGTAACTGAAGTCGAGTAAGTTATTTTCCTGAAAAATTCTTTAATAGAAAGATGTTATAAATTGTAACCGAAGGTAGCACTCTGCTGCTTGGTCAATAAACGATGAATGTTTCATTATAAGGAAACGGCTAATATTACCATCGCCATTATTAGTCTTAGGACAGAGGGGAAGATAAGATTCAAACAGAGGCTGCATACGTTTTTCTCACTATATAATCCAATATAAAATTGAATCCCCGAAATGGATAGTTATATTGGAAATAAATGACTTCTCAGTATTTAAAATATTAATGAGGATGATAAAAACGACAAGAAACTTAACAACTAGAACAGCAACAAGAGTACAAATAACAAAATAATAAGGCACCCCGTAAGTGGACTCTGATTGCCGCCACACACGTCGTACCTAAGTGTAGATATGTGCTGAGTAAGTCACATGGCTTAATTGCTGTCATTTTGCTAGTCGTCAATTGCTTATCATAAATCTAGCGTTAGCATCCCGCCGTGCAACATTCTCCGTCATCTTAATAATGCTTTAAATAGAAGCGTTATTAAAATTCCTAAGCCGACAAACTCCTAACCCTCTGTAAATTGTTGGCTCAGAAGGAATGAAAAGGACGTGGGAAGTAGAAAAAGAAACGTTGGGGGAGAAAGGAAGGAAGGAAGGAAGGAAGGAAGGAAGGAAGGAAGGAAGGAAGGAAGGAAGATATCAAAGAAGAAGTGGGTGATAAGAAACAAGATTCAAGAGGATGAAAGTAGAAAAGAGTTCTTTTTTTTTGTTTTTTTTTAAAGAACGAAAATGAGTAAAACAATCTAAAAAGAAAACCAAAACGAAAGGAGAAGACGAAACAAACCAAAGAATAAAAAGGGCAAAAGAAGAAAGCTAATGACAGAACTAATGAAATAATTGTGAAATAGAAAGAGGGCGAAGGAAGTAAAGAAAGAAAATGGTAAGAAAAGCAGAAATAAAAAGGAAATTTCTGATGAAAGCATGTAAAGATTAGGTTAGAAGAGAAGAAACAGAAGGAAAGGAGAAAGACATAACGCGATAAGAAGGGAAAAATAAAACATGGAAGGAAAAAGAAACAAAGAACGGGTGGTTTAAAGAAAGATCCAAAAATGTTCAAAGGACTACAATGGAAAAGATAAAGAAAAACAGAAATAATTTTGGCGAAAGAAAGGGAGAGGTAGATAGAAAAGGAACGTAAGAGAGTGGAATGAAGTGTTAAAAGAGAGAAGACAGAAACAAACACTTGGAAGAAGATGAAATGGAAGTAGGAAAAAAGAACCTTTGTAAGAAGTCAAAATGGACGTTTGGAATAATGAAGAAAGGGACGCTTTGAAGAATGAAGAAAATAACGCTTGTAAGGGTAAATATAAAAGTAACATTTTGAAGATGGAAGAAAGCGATATTTCCAAAGGAAAAGAAAGGGACCTTTGTAAGGAGGAAGAAAATTACATTTGCAAAAAGGAATAAAAATGCATTTAGAAGAATGAAGAAAACGATGATAGCAAGAAGGGATATTTGGAAAGAAAAAGTTTGTTTTTTTTTGGAAGAAAGAAAGAAAAGAAAAGACATTGAGTATAAAGAAAAAGGAATGTTTGAAAGAAGAAAGAGAATATCTTAGCGGCAATGATAATTGGAAGAATTAAGAAAGAAATATTGAGAAAGAAGTTTTGCAATAACAACAAAACGGACGTTTGTAAAATTTTAAATAGGAAAGGAATATTAAAAAGGAACATTTAGAAGGAATAAAGGAACGCTTGAAACAGTGAAAGGAGAACATATGGAAGAATGAAGAAGGAGATGTCTAAAATAATGAAGAAATGAACGAATGGAAAAAGGAGGAAAAATGTTTGAAAAAATGCATGTTTGGAAAGAAAGAGTCATTTAGAAAACATTTGGAAGAAATTAAAAATATACATTTAGAAGAAGAGAGAGAAGGATTTTTGAAAGAAGGAAGAAAAGTGGCGACTGGTAGAATAAAGAAAGGCATGTTGGAAGAAGAAAAAACGTTTTAAAGAAATAGACGTTTAGCAAGTAAAAAAATGGACGCTTAGAAGAAAGGAAAAAGGATCGCATGCAAGAAGGAAAAAGAGACGTTTATGATGATGGCGAAAGGCATGTTTGAAAGAATCATGTAAGTTACGCCTGGAAGTTGCAAGTTTAGAATATAAAAAAAATCTGGACGTTTGGAAGACGGAAGAAAATAACTTTGGTAAGAAAAAAAGGAAGAAAAAGAACTTTTAGAAGGAAAAGGAGATGTTTATGATGATGATGATGATGATGACAGGCATGTTTGAAAGAATGATAAATGTTACGTCTGGAAGAAGTAAGAAAAACATGTTTAGAAAATAGAACGCTTAAAAGATGGAAGAAAAGGACTTTGTTTAAAAAAAGGATTTTTAGAAGGAACAAGGAGACATTTGGAAAAAGGAGACACAAAGACATTTAAAAGAAAAAATACTTAAAAACAATGAAGTAATATTCGTTGAAAAGAAAGAAGAAAGCAAATTTTTAAAAGTCTTCGTCAAGTATATTTATTTCCTTTGGCAACGGTAGTTGCTTAGGTGGAAAATACGTTCTGTCAATAAAATAATAATAATAATAATAATAATAATAATAATAATAATATGAGGATATTTGAAAAACCAATTGCAATGTTTCGTTTTTGCTCTTTGATCCAGTAGAATACAGAATAGCCGAATATGAGAATCGATTACGATATTATTCTTCAATTTTAATTCAAAATATATATTCGCCACTAAATCTGATTAATTCTAGGCGTGTTTCGTTAACACCAGTTGGTGCTTCTGTCATTACTTATTAGCTTTAAAAAAATCTTCAAAACTGTATTTAAGTTTTTTATCAGATGTGTTTTCTAATACATGAAGCAAACGACATACAGGATTATTTAAAAAGTATAAATCGATTTCATTACGCTATATATTAATGATGAAAAGCAATAGAAAACTCCAGCCAAATCACAAGTATTCTACTCACAAACTACTTTTATTTCCTCTCTTACAAGTGTACAATGTGGCCAACACCTGCAGCACGGGCAACATCAATGTGATAAATAGAATTCCTCCCAGACGCGTATCACCATATCGCGATCCAATGATTTGATCGCTGTTGTTATTCGATGTTTAAGGTCATCGAGGTTTGTGGGTAGCGGTGGAACATAAACGCGATCTTTTACTTATCCCCACAAGAAAAAATCACACACGGTGAAATCTGGGGATCTCGCAGGGCAAGCACAAAGAACAAGGTCTTGAAAAGTGCCTGAACGAGGCGTAGTCTGTAAGGTTTCAAATGTAGACGCCTTCTTAGCACACGCCAGATAGTGGATTGAAGATAGTGGATTGAAGATAGTGGATTAGAGATCACAAGTTCACGGCTAGCTCGATTTGTGGACATCCGTGGACTCCCCTCAATCGAAGCACGGATTCTCGCCACTTGTTCCTTCGAAATTCGTGGTCGTCCTGGACATTTTTCCCCTTTACACAGTCACCCACTCCCTTGAAACTGTTTAAACCATCGTCGAATGTTCTTAGGAGAAGGCGGATTATGTCGAATTGCCTTCGAAAAGCACGCTGCATCGTGACAACCGTATTTGTTTTTGCGAACCCGAGAACGTTGAACGCCTTTTGCTGAGGACTTGCCATTCCGGGGGTAAACAAACAACTGAACGGTCCCGGAGATACGACGCACTACAGCGCCCCTTGTGGCAGCCATTCAAAACTTAGAAAATTCCTCTTCCAAATGGTCACTGACTCATTCCATGACGATGTTTGAGAACTGAAGTAATCCGTCATGAAATCGGTTCATTCCTTTTTGATAACTCTATTGTTTTAAAATTTGTAAAAAAAGATTCAAATTTAATTTTTTCTAAATTTAAAAAAATGTGCTTTATTGATTGACTTATTAAGATTAAGTTCAGTTAATATATACTGGTTAGATACCTGTCAGGTCGTTGATGTCAAGTGAGGCAAATTTAAAATCTAAGTTGTTTTTGCCATTTGAAATGCTACTAGAAAATATATTCAGCTTAAACACAAGAGTCGATAAAATGGCTTCAAAGGATCGCACATTTCGGTTTGCCTGTTAACCAAGGGTTGTTGCCAAATAGAAAGGAAAATTCGTAATCGTGACACAGATATTCATTTCAACTTAATTCAAATTGTGCGTATGCACGTTTGCGTGTACACATGAATATTTTAATTCAATGACACTCTAAAAATATTTCTACAAAATTAAAAAGAAAATATTTCTATTTATTATCCGAATAATTTCCGAAAAATTTAATAAAATCTCATAATCATCTGATTCTATTAGGGTTTAAACTTTTTTCTTGTTTCAAAATACGTTATTTTTGTTGCTCAGACCAGGGTAGAGGTTATACAGACTGTGTGGGAGGGAAATGTAATATTCCAATGTCTTATTTCAACATTAGTAAAATTGTGTGTTTATGAGTGCATGCGCGTACTTGTGTATACTTGACACAAACACATGTAAGACACCAATGCTCAATAGACCTACGCATATACATAAACGCATACGTGTGACGGACAGAAAACCAGCACTTCTTTTATAATATGTATTATTAGTAGAAAAATGTATTTTTGATTTAGTTTGTTCTTCATGATAATGTTTCATTCATTTCTTTAATAAATATCGCAGTAACGAGAAAATGAACGTTTTAAACTGAGTAGCTGGCATAAATGACCTTAAAGTGTGTTGGAGACGATCAAAATGTATGTAAAATGGCAAACTAGACCCTGATTTTACGAATGATATTATGACCCGAAATGTTTAATCCACAATGTAAATGCACTGCTTAACTGGACCTGTGTTTCGTATCCATTTTTATGAAATTATGTGCGTAATTTTAAAGCACAGAAGCCTAAACATAAAATCTTTTATCGATTTAATAATACGTTAAAATTTTGGTAACTCAAACTCAGAAAAGAAAAAATAAAAGGAAAAGTTATCTTTCTTAATCCTTTTAGGCTTTCATACTATAAAATTATGTAATTTATGAATTAACGAAAAAGATCCGCTAACATAAAGACGGACACAAAGTAAGGATACAGTTTAGCATTTTACTTACATACTGAATCGAAATCCAACCAAAAAATTACAAAGAAGAAATGTCCCAACGAGAGACCTAGGATCAGAAATGGGATCATAACATTTTCCACTGCATCTGTGTCAAAAACAAAAAAAATAAAGATAGAGATAAAATAACCTAAAAACACACACATTTTACACAGATAACGCCCATCGTAGAGTGGGAGCTATACTTCTGAGAACATTTTCTTGTATTTATTGCTACCGGGGTTCCCTCCAATGAGTGTATCAGGACCATTTCCAATCAAACCCAGCGCTCCAACCACAACTGAAATTACTGATACCATTGTGTACCACGTTTTTTAGTTTTCAACTTCAAGATCCTTGTATATTGATAGTTTTTTGAAGATCTTCAAATCTACATTACAGTTTGAAGGAACTACCATGTCAATAAGAAAGTACATTCTGTTTTGTGGTCTTTGATCACTATGTCTGGGCGATTAGCTTTGATTATTCTGTCCGTCTGTATTGTAAAGTTCCATAATATTGTTACAGGTCCTACGTCTGTAACCGGGTCTGGGTGGTGTTCATACCAATTTCTCGTAGTTTTCTTTCCATAAAGTTTTTCCAGTGCTCACTCTTTCATGCCAGGTTTTATATTCGAGGGATGCTAATAAAATCAAACTGAAAGGATGAATATAACTAAAATAGAATGTTTTTTTTTAAATAAATCTATTCTCGACTGAAATCAGTCGCCTGTTCAAACTTTTAATTTTAATCTTGTGAAAATTAACTTGAAGCCTTTTCAATCAATAATTAGGATTTATGATGATTTCAGTGTGACACAGAAAATATTATCGATTTTCGATATTTCACTGTTAAAAATAGAACTCTTTGGTATTGTTTGAGATTATATTTCTCCTCCTGTAAGTTTAATAAGTTTCAAAGAATGTCATTGGTAAAATATTGACCATAGAAGCTGAAACTTCCTAATATAGAATTTAGAAGTTCTAACCATTGAGACACACATGTCATCTAAAGAAAGTGTTTGATTTATCGCTAAGCAGCTGGCCGGAAGTTGCCGGTGTTTTGCTTGATAAGTTCCTTTATTTTTTTTATTTCGTTTCCTTTTTTTCCTATCTTTCTACATCTAAAAGATTATGAATTTGCTCTCAGTGTCGATTTGAATTCGAAAGATTAAAGCTTTTTAGCGGATTAGAACTTGATTCTTTTTGTTATTATTTTTATTCATTTACTTTAGATATGAATCAGATAATAGTGGGAAAAATTTCAGTAATTTGTTTTATATAAAAGAAGCTGTTAATTTTAGTCTTCTCAGTATTGTGTTAGTGTTTTTTATCTTTTTACATATTTGTACGGGAATTTTTTTTTTTTTAAAGAAATCACATATTAAGAAAATATATTATAAAAACAAATATATTTAAATAGCTATGTGGGGGTTTGGAAGAAAAGAGCCATTTCTTGACGGAAGTGATTGAATCAAACTTCCAGAGTTTGTAATGGTTGTTTGTCTGCCATGAAATTTGTAATTTGGCTTTACCCCTTAGATGAACTGACGAAACGAATAACTAGCAGCAAAAGTCGACTGCGTTCAGTCAAATGTCAATGTTTTTAAAACGATCACAACGAGTGTGTAAACATAACATTAGACGGCGCCTTTTTAAGAATGTCAGTTAAATAGATTAGTTTGTGGTTTTTATTACTACACGTTTCTTGCGAAATTATATATTTTTTAAAAACTGCACCAGAAATTAAATTAAAAACTGCTATAAGAATTGTATGGAAATGAAATATCTTTTCTTATCGAATGCTAGAGGGTAATTTTTAACTACTGCAGATGATTGTGCTTTATCAGTTTGTTTAAATTTTCGTCTCAACTTAAAAACCTCGACTTCCAGGCATCAATACTCAGTTCAAATAAACTTCGTTCTTACAAAATCCAGCTATCGGTTAAATAGCAGAGCAGATCATCTGTCATTAACGTCACTGAAGTTGTTTCATTTTCATCAAACAAGGCTAAGCTCTTTGCAATTAATTTTGCCTCAAACTCTACGCTAGACGACCAGGGTAGTTCCCTACCTGACTTACCCCCTTTCACGGTGCACAAGCTTTGTGGTTTCATTATCTCGGGAAGTTTCCAGACTCATCAAAAATTTTGACTCTACAAAGACTACTGGTCCAGAAAAAGTCCCTGTTGTTGTATTTAAGAACCTTGGCCCTGAATTATCTCTACTTTTGACAAAGTTGTTAAACCCCTGTTACAAAGAGAAATGTTTCTTAAGTTTCTGGAAGTTGTTAGCTGTTTTTTTTTTTTGTTGTTTTTTTTTCTCCTGTTTTCAGGAATGCCGGTGAGTGTTCATCCCTGTCGTTCATCCCACCAGAAACAACATTTGAGGGACAAACAGTATGTATTTTCCTCCTCTGGTTGTGACACAAACTCGCTATGGCACCTCCGGAAGAGTCTACGCAATTAACAAGTCCTTTCTCTTAGGTCGGTCCATGATGTTCGTTGTGACTGGCCAGTATTCGGAAGCCTATGAGGCCAAAGCAAATGTCCTCTCGGGTTCTCTCCACGGTCCTATCCTCTTTTTGCTTTTAATTAACAATCTGTCTCGGAACATTCTCAGTAAAGATCTATGCAGTTGATACTACAGTTTATGAAAGCACCTCCAAAAATCAAAATGTTCTCAGCCTTGCAACTGATCTTTCCTCTGACCTAGCTCGAACAGCTCAATGGCTTTCAGTAGCCCTGAAACCAAGCTAGTATTATTATATCACCACCAATAAGACCCTGAGTTTACTCTAGTTAAAATGAACGGTTGCACAGTCAACGAAGCTCCATACTATTAGGATTACTCTGGATCTCAAGTGGAACCCATGTATACAATCTATTACTAAAGATGCTGAGAAACGGCTCATTCAAACACTCCAGGATATATATATATATATATATATATATATATATATATATATATATATATATATATATATATATCCACAGACAGACTGTTTCGCTGTATCACAGCTCTTCAGTGTAGATTGATATCTGATTGCTTCAAGCTTCGGAATCGAAACCCGACCAATTTGGCATCAGTCAGAGATTCTACTCCTAAGCTATCGGCACACGACAGAGAAAGGTAAATTCTGACGTACGGATGTATGTAAACGCCAGAAGCCGGAGGGCTCAATTCATTACTGAAGAGCAATGCGTTAATAGCAGCGGCGGTTACTGTTTTGAAATTACCCTTATCTCTATAGTGCTCAATCGAATAACGAGAGCAGGACATAGCATATATATATATATATATATATATATATATATCATATTTTATCTTTATGAGAGTTAAATTAGAACAAAAATCGTGTATTGCTGTCAGATCTGGGCCGGGGTTACACCCTACCCAATCTTCATTTTCCAGCTTTTATAGATTTTAAAAACGTTTACGCGATCTTGTGGGAGGTGAATTATTTCCCAATATCCAGCCTTTTTTCCACTGACACGACATATTGCTATTTCCATGTCAAATATTCAGATAAGCTCCAGAAGAAATTTCCAGGCAGCTTTTTCCCAAGTACTAGTACTTAGGGGGACTGTCTACTACATTAATGCTTCCCTGGGCACTAAAATCTTAACCAATCAAAGGTCAATCGTTGTCTATCCTCCTCATCCTCATAATCTACACTCCATAGTTCCTCCTCTTGCTTTCATATTCTTTCGGTTAATATCTTTACCTGCTGCCCCTTCTTTCTTTCTTTCTTTCTTTCTTTCTTTCTTTCTCTCTCTCTCTCTCTCTCTCTCTCTCTCTCTCTCTCATGTACGAGAAGTTGAATAGTTATAGGTCCGAGGCACAACCCGAAATCTGATCAAATGACTAAAAATCAGATTTATTTATGTCATTTTGTTTTTGTTTTTTTGAAGAGCCTTTCGGTCAGGCCAATAATTTTTTAATTCCCACTTAAAAGACATTAATGGTGACACAGATGATAGGCGAACCTGTCTCCTCCTATTAAGGAGAAAAGTAAGTAAATAATTAGTGAATAAAATTCAGAGTTCAAGTGGAGATGTGAGAAGTATAGAGTTGCTTTGCACTATAATGTGGGGTTTGTAGGTGTTGAACAAACACAAATGTGCCTGATCAGGCGTTTTCAACAGGGATTGACTAGCAACCCTAGAAAACGGGTATGCTCGCAAACTATTAAACGCCATTATATGTATGTATGTAAGTAAAAGAGCAATGAGTGTGACTATGAAAAAATTATATATTCTAACACTAGTTTCCTTCATCTCCTTTAAAGAAAGTTCCCTTAGCTGCTGTTTTCCCACAGGTTCTGAATAGGTACTACTCACAAAATGTAACAGTTAATGTCCGTACGGTTTTTGGTTCGTGTGTTCTCTTCACGGTTTTCGAAGTTCCTATCATCTCGTATATACATATATATATATATATATATAGTGTAACCCGGATATAAGAAAGATTTTCTCTGGTCCCAAATTAGAGCCTGTGTTAATGTATATAAAATAGACCAAACCCGGATATAAGAGAAACCCGGATATAGGAAACTTCTTCTCCGATCCCGACAACTCTCTTATATCCGGGTTACACTGTATATATATATATATATATATATATATATATATATATAGTTTATGCAAAACTAGGTAATCCGCATGGGTAGACCCAAGGAGGATGATATCCGGAGAGCTCAATGTAAAATTCAGAGCCGATATGTTTGAATATAAACAGACCACTTTAAGGTTCCATGTAATAAGTTATTTCACCATAACCCCTTTAACAGGCCCTGGATCATCAGACTTTACTTCCAAAGGTTGAAATGAAAAATGAAAAGAAATTCACACGTTTTTGACGGACCGCATCAAGCATATGTAAAATTAACGAAGTGAGGAAGTATATATATATATATATATATATATATATATATATATATGTTGTAATGGAATGTCCCACACTCCCTATCACCTATGTGGACTGACTATATCAGTAGGTATATATAGTGAGCACGGGATATGCCTGGGGGCTTGCTTCGGGAATTACTAGCCTGCCACCCGAATCCCTATCTTTCAGTAGTGTATTCTCTTTTACAATAAACCGCTTTTCTTTCATCTAAGCGCGTGTTGCTGTTCATTCACTCGAGTACACTTTTGTCTGTTTGTAACCTCTTTAAGGATACAGTAATGTATATATATATATATATATATATATATATATATATATAGAGAGAGAGAGAGAGAGAGAGAGATGATTCATAAACAGAGGGAGCCTACTGTAGCTCGATTCGCAAAATATTCACCCATGTAATTAGTTGCCTTGTGCCAGATAAATTGTTCTTAGTAAATAATTATATGTATAAGCAACAAGGAAAAATTATGAGACAGTGTAATGGCATGTTTTTTAACGCGTCTGTCGACACACACACGCACGCACACACACTTACAAGCGTACATACATACATGTATACAATCAAATGTTGGTACATAATAGATGATTTATATATAATCGCATAATTTATCTATTCCTGTCCTTCATAGCAAAAATATATCAGTCATAATAGTCGACTTAAATGATTTTCAAGGCAACATTCCCTCCAAAATTTTTGGGTGTTAGCACAACATTTAAAAATACGTTCCTCACACGTATATATTTCTATTCTTCTCTTTCCCTTACTTCTTCCTTATCCTCCCTCTCTTTCTCGCCTTCTCTCTCTCTTTTTCTCTCTCTTTCTCTTTCTCCCTCTCTCTCTCTAGCTATCTATCTCTTTCTTTCTTTACTTTCTAGCTTCTGTAATTTCTCGAAGAAATTAAACACCAAAAATCGAATTAGATTCAAGTAGAAAAAATAGAACTTATTTGTTTCTTCTCTTGCTGATTCTCACTCATTCTTTTCTTTCTCGCACACTCACCTCTCTCTCTCTCTCTCTCTCTCTCTCTCTCTCTTTCTCTCTCTCTCTCTCTCTCTCTGTGTGTGTTTTATTTTATCTCTTTTTTTATTTTTATTTATTTATTTTCTGTGTAATTTTCTTCTTTCTACGTCTGTTTTTTACTTTTTTTTACAATCTTTTTTCTTTTTATACTTTTTATCGACATTTTCCGTTAATTTTTTTAATATACTTCCCTGTTTCTGCTTCTCTTTCTCTCTCTCTTTCTCTATTCTATATTCTTACCTCTATGTCGATTGCTTTCGCTCTTTCTACACTTTCTCTTTCTTTCTTTTCTCTTGCTTTCTCATTTTCTTCTTCTTTCCCATCTATCTTTTTCAATGTATCGCATAGTCCTTTCAAAGTCACCCTCTCTAAATTTAACTTTCACTTTTTCTTTATCTAATTTGCCTTCATCCCTCTCACACACATCCTTTATCTCTCTATCTCTCTCTCTAAATTTAACTTTATTTTATTTTCTTTGTTCAATTCATCTTCCTCTCTCTCTCTTTCTATCTATCTATCTATCTATCTATCTATCTATCTATCTATCTATCTATCTCTCCTTCTCTCTCTCTCACTCTGGTTCCTACTGCTCGAATATCCTATAAGTTTTGTAATGTACCACCCAGTACGCGGATAAAGTGTATTTTTGTTGGTGGCCGTAGTCTTCCGCACCTCAATTTCCTTCCGCTCTTTCCTTCCATCCTTCCTTTTGGCTTATTTTTTTACTCCTTCATCGCTTGCGTTCTCCTGCCGATAACGTATATAAAATACGATCTACCGCTGTTGCAAGCAACGACGAACACGGGGACGTGAGAAGGAGATCAGCCATTTTTTTTTTTTTTTTTCCTCTTCGTACCGAAATTTCTTTGCAGTGAAACACATGCATTACTCGCTATACTCTCCCTTTCTCTTCCTGTTTCCTCTCTATCTTTCTATCTCTCTCAGTCACATCAGGCACACACATACATACACATTCTGTGCCATTAGAACTATATATGTTTATTCGTATCTCTCATAGGTTCTCGTATATACGAGTTATATCAACATATATAATCATACGTATCTCTCTCTCTCTCTCTATATATATATATATATATATGTGTGTGTGTGTGTGTGTGTGTGTGTGTGTGTGTGTGTGTGTGTGTGTGTGTGTGTGTTCTTCACCGGTAGCACGACTCGAGTTTCATGCACAACGCAATCTTCAACACAATCACTGAATGTGCAATATATATATATATATATATATATATATATATATATATATATATATATATATATATAATAAAGAACATGTTAGATTGATATACGATTCCTATTTGTTTTTTATTTAATCATCCTATCGGATCCGATCCATATATGAACTTTGACATATATATATATATATATATATATATATATATATATATAATTTATTCGAAAATTATAAAATAAATATGTAGATTCTACATTCAACACGATCATTTGATAAGACACCAGAAGTGTTGAAACAAAATGGCCATTTTGTAGTGATTTTATAACATATTTATGTCATAATTTTCGAATAGATTATATTTGCTCTACTCTTTATTGAGCACTCTTTTAAGAATAGTATTTTTTGGTTATTCGAATTTATTCTGTATACACCAATCCTATACTTATATATATATATATATATATATATATATATATATATATATATATATATATATATATATATATTATTATTATTATTATTATCATTATTTTATATGTTCAGTACTTATTGGAAAGTACTCAATATTATTGATAGAACTAACATATCGCTTTTGCGATCATCAGACAATTGTCTGATGATCATAAAAGCGTGAAACCTCAGGGTCACATGCTCATATCCATACAACTGAGTATATATATATATATATATATATATATATATATATATATATATACGCTCACGCGTCTGTATGTATGTATGTATGTACAGAAGATATGATATACAAATCAATATGTCAGAATGATAACAATAATCTTTTGATTAAGCGAATGTGCAGAATTTAGTGGTCTGGCTAACAGAATAAAGTCTTCTTCATATTCCTGAAACACTTCCCGTACAATTCGTATCCTGTGGCACTCTGCTAAAAGATGCCATACTGTTATTGTAGAAAACTGTTGACATGAACGGATCTACGTGGTATTCAGTTATGTTTAATAAGATAGTGAAAAATAATAATCATTGAAGAAAAAGAGCATTCCATGTGAATTCCAGTATTTGAAAGCAGAACGTTGTTCAAACTTTTTTTTCCTACAATGCATCCACAGTATAACGGTGCACACATATCAGGTCATCTACTTTATTCAGGAATAAAACTAATTGAACCAGCCGAATTTCTTCTATTGATATAAGGTTCAGTTCTAATGTTCGTATGTCCAAACGTTTTCTTCAATCGACATTGGTTAACATATGCCCGCTGACTGATTTACAGCTGTGTAGCCTAATACACAAGGATTTGTGTACTACGTGTTGCGATGTATTTTATTCTTCCTCTTATTTAAAACTAACTGCAATTTGTGCCACTGTAGCCCAACTGTTTGATCGTACTTGGCAGGAAAGTCTTTTTCCATGTTTTGGCGGCCCAGTACTTTTGGGGTTTGGTAATTTTTCCCTCCTCAGATCACTGGCGATATGTATTTTCCCTACAGTTGAATGTAAGCACTCTACAAATCGTTCGTTTCAAAAATTATCTTTTTCCATAGTAATTTTGGATGTTTATCAAAACCAATTAAATCTTTCTTCTTGCCTAAAATGTATTATTCAATATGAAGCCGGTTTAATTTGCAACTATATATCCAATATTCTTAATAGTTAAGAAACAAATGAGGATGGTGATAAAATCTGGGATTATCAATGATTCAATACCGTATTTGGCGGTTTCGAATATCCCTTTAGAAAAATAGTTAAATATTACAATGTCCAATCACTAATATTAGAGATAAATGGTCAAGCATTGAAAATTCAAACAGACAATAAAAATATTTTAAATATGCACTTTATCTCTAAAAATATCCTTTACAAAAGAGTGCATCGTATACTTAACTCACTTTTCAAACATATATATATATATATATATATATATGTGTGTGTGTGTGTCTGTGTGTGTTTTTGTGTGTGTGCGTGCGTGTGTGTTTGTAGGATGTATAATAATATCCGAAACAAAAGGGAAGATGATGAGGCAAAATAGAAAAGATATAAACGACGCGTTTACCAACGAGCATATGAAGCCGGAGGGAGCAGACGCTCTTGGCAAAATGTGTCGTTTATAGCTTTTCTACTTTGTCTCATTATCTTCATTTATATATATATATATATATATATATGTTACAGCAAAAAAAAAAAACAATTACCTCAACATCAGAATAGAGTTTTTAATTTTTTTTTTTTTTTTGCTGTAAAAATACATATGCTTTATTAAAATAAAAACATTGAGCTCTCTGTGCATCAGTTTTAATAATTCTTATTACTAGGATCTACCCGGATTATATACCAACGGATAGATTACCTGTACTATATATACATATACACACACACACACACATATATATATATATATATATATATATATATATATATATATATATATATATATATATATATATATATATATATATATATATATATTATGAGAGGGTGCTGAAAAGTTCCTCGATAGAGGAAATGACCTAAAACCTGATATTTCTTAATCGAGTCGAGAACTGTTGAGTTCCCGCCCTTTTTAAAAAGAATATATTTAACCTTCGTCGTTTTATATCTCTATCTATCTAATCATTTCATTCCATTCTCAGTACTAAAGTGTCTCATTCCAGTGTTCCAGATTAGATTTCCAATAGCAAATTGGTTTATATTTATGACTCTCCACAGCTTCATTTCTTTTGATACTGTCAGCAATAGTTACCCCTTTATGAAGACTTTTTTTTGCTTTTGTAGTACTCGTTCTTATATCAGTTTGCTCAAACTTATCATATTGGCTACCTGTTGGTTTGTTCTGTTTTTCTTACCTTCGCTGCGCCCTGTCAGTGTTAAGTTCTACAAATCTTCTTTTTCATTATGTATTCGGAAATTTAAGATGCCTCTTTCTGATCGTTTGCAAACTTTTCTTGTAGTTTCTCTTCTCCTTAAAAAAAAATCCTCTTGGCACATACTCTGTAGCCCAGCTTATATTAAATGTAACTCCCAAAATCGCAGGTGGCAAAATTCAAAATTTATCAGTTCGGGGCTTTCTAAAGTAACCGAATATTGCTATCCTGCTCTTGTCTCTCATTTTCCTATCTTCCTCTTTCTCTCTGAATCGCTCTCTCTCTCTCTCTCCCCCCTTTCTCTCTTTCACTCTTCCCACATCTATTTACGCCTTTCCCACATCGCGCTCTCTCTCTCTCTCTCCTTCTCTTTCAGTTTTTTGCTGCCCTACCATTTCTCTGCGCCTCAGACAAACACGTGTTTAAATGAGCAGACCCTTTAAATGTGCACACGCAGATGTAAACGAACCTCAAAACATTTAGTAATTTTTCTAATGTACTGTGCAAAATATACACACACGCTTTGACATTTCTACTTCCTTGTGGCCAGTTCTCTCATCTGTTTCTGCCATTATCTACTTCTTCTAACTCATCCGTCCTATATATTCATTATATTTCCTTATAGGGCCGAATGTGTTCACAAATTTCAATGTTCACTTCTGGAGTTATGAATACAGGAAGTGATCTTTCTTCATGTTAAAAAAAAAGCATTATTACATTTCTCTTCTCCATAGAGAACATCGTTGTTCTTATCTCAAATAGTGTTATTATATTACTAAATATCATTGGCTTGCTATTATTGAGTTTCAAATAGACAGGCCCCGACGATTATTCTTTTTTAGAGAAAAATCCACATGAGATCTCTTTATTCTAACCATTTATTTATTAAATACCCGGATGTCTTCCTTTCGCCCCTTAATTTAGGCTGCAAACATTCTAGAAAAAAGCGTTTCATTATTGAAATTTATAAATAAAATAAAATTAAAAATTGCAGCTACCACGTTTATCTCAACCATTTCGTTTATTTAAAACTTAATGTAGTGTTGTAGCATACCTACGGACGATAATGGGTATGTCCCCATTCACATAAATACAGTAGTAAATACTGTATGTTGGTCTGTAGTTAAAGATTCATCCCCAGCTGTGCTGGTCAAACTTTCTACCTCCGGACAGAGAGGATCCCCAGACGAGGCTATGTCGAAGGGCAGAGTCTCGACTCGGGAAACAGCTACCCAACCCCCGTTCTATTCGGGGTCTACGAGTAGTTTTTGGTCGAGTCTACGGGCTCGAATACCCCACATTAAATTCGGCCTTGTGCCACATCTGACTTCGTGTGACGGTTGGTACATATCCTGCAGTTGGAGACGAATCTCCAACTGTGCTGTTCAAACATTTTGGCCGAGCCTACGGGCTCGGATACTTCACATTAAATTCGGTCTTGTACCACATTTGACCGCGTGGGGCGGTTGGCAGATATCCTGCAGTTTGAGATTCATTGTGGAATTCACTTGACTCACTTCTAGCAGTTGACTACTACTTCTATGCGCCGCTGGCGAATCTTATATGTGTTGTTCTT